ATACATACATACATACATACATACATACATACATACATACACACACACACACACACACACACACACACACACACACACTGTACCTACTGTGACACCAGGAGAAAACTTTTATTAAAAATTATTTTGTATTTGTAGTGAAAACTTTGTAGAATGACTAATATAGCATTTTGGCTTGACAGCAATTTTTTTTAACCGGGTTCATTGTGTTCAGTTCAAGAAATATCCTGCTGTTATCAAAAGCCAATCATTGGATCCTACTGACATTGAGACCTGAATATACTGTTAGGTCTGCCCTACTAAATACCATAGATCGAAACATGTCACACTTAAAACTATAGTTTCCAATAATTAAAATTTACCTTCACATTGCAGTTATTGTGTTACACTTTCAGTGTATTTCAGCTCATTTTTAAATTCATACTCATAGCAAAAGATGGGGTACATACAAAATTCTGGTTGTAAAATGTCGAGGGAAGAGGCCACTTTTGAGAACTTCACCAGAAATAAGATTTGAAGGTGTGGTTTTGGATTCATCTTGCCCCTGTATAGGGCCCAGTGATGGGCTGTTGTGAACATGGAATTGAATCTTTGGGCCCTGCAAAAGATAGAATTTCTTTACTGACTGAGCAACTATTAGTTTCCCAAGGACAACTCCAGAAGTTGATTTGAAAATAATGGATTTCACTTTTGACAGGAGTGGACATTGTCCGCAAGGCTTTGCGAACGCCTTGCATGCAGATTGCAAAGAATGCAGGCACTGACGCTTCAGTGGTGGTTGCTAAAGTTGAAGAACTGGATAGTGAAATTGGATATGATGCAATGAACAATGAGTATGTGAATATGATAGAGAAGGGCATCATTGATCCTACCAAGGTAATTAATTTTCTCTTAAATCTCACCCAGATATGAAAGTTTTTAAAAGGCAAAATATTATGATAAATCACTATCATTGCCTACCAGTCTCACAAAAATATGTCATATAGGGTGGTTGCATGTCAGACATTGACTTTTAAAACAAGAAACAGTGTGCACCAGCTTCTGTTATCCATCAGCATTGGTTTTCGTGACAAACCACTGCTCACATTTATTGGGCCTTGGATGATTTTCTGGAACACACAAGTGATCTTTACCTCTCCCTCCCCATTTCCTTAAGCATTCATGTAGTTTTCCCATGTATATGTCATACATGTGCTGTGCAGTTCCTCTTTAAGGACAAGTGATTTGCTCCACTGCTGAAACATTGATGCAACCTTTTGAAAAGTATGGCAATTCTGAATTGTTACTGTTCTCTAATTCAGCTGTCTGGCTAGTCCTTACTCATATGGCTGAAATGGTTATTTTTAAGAAGTTGTGATCATGTAATTTCTTACAGGTTGTCCGAACAGCCCTGACAGATGCAGCTGGAGTTGCATCATTGTTAACAACAGCTGAAGTTGTTATAACTGATATTCCAAAGGAAGAGATGGGATCAGATGGCAGGATGGGTGGTATGGGAGGAATGGGGGGGATGGGTGGTATGATGTAAGTAATTCTAAACCAGTTAATGTCATCAACACAGGATTAAAAGACTGAAGAGAAGAAGTGAAAGAAACCAGAATACCCTAGTGTCACCACAAGAGATATTGCATTGTGTGAGGTTCATGTGTATGTTGCAAATGTTTCTGTAGGGGGAGAAGTTAAATAAGAGCTCAAAATCTTCTATGAATGGAAAGAATTATACAAGATTTCCATTGGTCATGTAGTAATAGATGTTTTTAATTGATCATGCCAAAACTTATTTCGTGTATAACTAAACCTCTGGTAGTTGTGAGTTGACTGGTATGCATTATCGGAATACCAGTTTGTTGAATATTAACACTTGAATAGGTCTCTTCACAGTGGACAAAGTTCCCTTTTGTTATCTGCTGCTGGAAAACCTGTTGACAGTTCCAATAAATAAAAACTGGCACTACTCACTGTTGCTTACTTCACATAATGTGTAAATTGGCCATAGTCTAGGTCCTTGCATTGTAAACTGTGAAGGATGTGTTGTAATCTCATGGACATTGTTCTGACCTCATACTTCAAAGCATTTATTCATTCCATTGTCATGATTTGTTTAAATTAAATGTGTGGTATCCCTGTTATGCCAAATTATTGAACATTTTACTCTTGGTATACATTCATCTTTGTGATGCCAAGGTAATTGAAGTGTTAAAACTTAGAAGCTTGAAAGAAGCAGATACATGAATTATATATGCATGAGGTGCAAGCTAATTGCAATGTAAATAAGTTCTGAATATCTTGTAACAGAATAAACAGTTCATTGTTTTTCAGTTTCATATTCCATGTGAATTTTGTTACATGTACTGAAATAAAAAAAATATAACCAATTGTTATTTTTTATTTGGTACAATTAAAATCTGTACAAAATCATAGATTTATTAAACTAAAAACAAGAAGAATGCACTGTAAGTAGCACTTACTGTGAAGGTTTTCTCCTTTACTTTCAAGGGATCTTGCAGTGTCCTCTACACCGGTGGCTACCACTGTTCCCTTCCAAATGTCATACTTTTGTTCTTCCCACGTCTTCTCTTTTTACCCTAAGAGAAATGAGATTAAAAATGGCATGACATCTTTGAAGGCACCAAAGATGACAGGTTTGTGTTATGTTTGGTCTAGGTATGTGCAAGCCTAAATTTCTAAGATCTACAGACAATCAATTTGTACCACACTAGATACTGCAACACATCCAAGAAGACATTTTCTAAAGCAGGTCTCAAACCGTGATACTGATACTTGCCAGCAGTACCATAAATCCTCATTAATATTACAAAGATGGTATTAGTGGCAAACATGGCATTTATGAAGACTTTGGGTTATATCTCTTGCTGTGTGACAGGCTGACTTCTGGATGTTATTACTATCTTGAACTTCAGTTTGATTACATCAAACCCAGTACCTGGCTGTACTTTATCAACTTTTTAAGTTTAGGCAACGTTACAAGAGATAATAATGAAAACTATGATAAGGTATGGTACAGAGTGAAAAATTAAAACAATTGAAACATGTCTAATATGCAATGAATTATATATAAACTACCAACTTACCTTTGGCTTTTGTTCATTTCTGTGATTTGTCACAGACACCTTGCTACCACCCTGGAACCTGCTGAAATTCACTTTACTGTAGTCAAATGGCTGGAAACCTTCTTCATTCTGCCTCTTTTTCCCACGTTTTCCTCTTTTATTGCCAGTGTGTGGTGTGTAATGTGGTGAAGAAATGTTATCTTTGACAGATTCATCTGGCTTTGGTCTTTTACATGACTGTGCATCACTATTATTCTGTTCAGGCTGGGCAATGGAGAATTTCTTGTTAAAATTTTTACGCTTTCTTGAAACCTGAAAAAATACAGAAAAGTGTGTATTAATTACTTGGTCTTTTAAGATTATACAACTCTCAACATTTGTTGTTGAATGAATACTGGAAGATGATAAGACTGCGATGATTACAGTGGAAAACCTCTTAGTAACACTCCTCAATTTAGTGATAAAGTTCACTGTTCATCAGAGAAATCTCAAATTGGAATTTACTGAATCTTAACTAATTACTACCAAGAATAAGGTCAGAACCATATTCGAATAAGTCCACAGTGAATCACAAATGGGCACCTTGTATTCACATATTCTGTAGTGGAATTTTGTTTTTGATAGTATTAAAAACAATGTATTAATACAAAGAAAGTTCATAAAACAATGTTTGCTTTCTTGAACTCTACAATTGTAACAATGAAGCACAGACCAGCAAAGGGAAGTCTGATAATATACATTATATATTTCTTACTGCAAAAACTAAATTTCACATGTTCTTCCCCAAACAAATTCTTTACACTTCTTTATAAAATATCACAATGCAATGGAAACTCTCAAGCCTTACTGGTCACTGATTATAATGAAGAATTAACAACTGACACATTTTAAAATACTATTTAGTGTTAAAAATCAACAATATATTATTTTATGCCTTGCAATTTGCTTCAAGACTCTTGCCTTCCCCAGTGTACAACCAAAACAAACAAAACTTGGTTCCTCTAGCCCCATGCATTTTTATATGGGATAGCTCAGTCAGTATAGTGACTAGCTACGGGCTGGACGACCGGGGTTCGATCCCCGACGGGGGCAGAGGATTTTTCCTCTAGCCTCTACCTCTTACTATCTTGAACTTCAGTTTGATTACATCAAACCCAGTACCTGGCTGTACTTTATCAACTTTTTAAGTTTAGGCAACGTTACAAGAGATAATAATGAAAACTATGATAAGGTATGGTACAGAGTGAAAAATTAAAACAATTGAAACATGTCTAATATGCAATGAATTATATATAAACTACCAACTTACCTTTGGCTTTTGTTCATTTCTGTGATTTGTCACAGACACCTTGCTACCACCCTGGAACCTGCTGAAATTCACTTTACTGTAGTCAAATGGCTGGAAACCTTCTTCATTCTGCCTCTTTTTCCCACGTTTTCCTCTTTTATTGCCAGTGTGTGGTGTGTAATGTGGTGAAGAAATGTTATCTTTGACAGATTCATCTGGCTTTGGTCTTTTACATGACTGTGCATCACTATTATTCTGTTCAGGCTGGGCAATGGAGAATTTCTTGTTAAAATTTTTACGCTTTCTTGAAACCTGAAAAAATACAGAAAAGTGTGTATTAATTACTTGGTCTTTTAAGATTATACAACTCTCAACATTTGTTGTTGAATGAATACTGGAAGATGATAAGACTGCGATGATTACAGTGGAAAACCTCTTAGTAACACTCCTCAATTTAGTGATAAAGTTCACTGTTCATCAGAGAAATCTCAAATTGGAATTTACTGAATCTTAACTAATTACTACCAAGAATAAGGTCAGAACCATATTCGAATAAGTCCACAGTGAATCACAAATGGGCACCTTGTATTCACATATTCTGTAGTGGAATTTTGTTTTTGATAGTATTAAAAACAATGTATTAATACAAAGAAAGTTCATAAAACAATGTTTGCTTTCTTGAACTCTACAATTGTAACAATGAAGCACAGACCAGCAAAGGGAAGTCTGATAATATACATTATATATTTCTTACTGCAAAAACTAAATTTCACATGTTCTTCCCCAAACAAATTCTTTACACTTCTTTATAAAATATCACAATGCAATGGAAACTCTCAAGCCTTACTGGTCACTGATTATAATGAAGAATTAACAACTGACACATTTTAAAATACTATTTAGTGTTAAAAATCAACAATATATTATTTTATGCCTTGCAATTTGCTTCAAGACTCTTGCCTTCCCCAGTGTACAACCAAAACAAACAAAACTTGGTTCCTCTAGCCCCATGCATTTTTATATGGGATAGCTCAGTCAGTATAGTGACTAGCTACGGGCTGGACGACCGGGGTTCGATCCCCGACGGGGGCAGAGGATTTTTCCTCTAGCCTCTACGTCCAGACCGGCTCTGGGGCCCACCCAGCCTCCTCTACAATGGGTACCGGGGTCTTTTCCCGGGGGTAAAGCCGGCCGGGGCTGACCACTCACCCCCATCTAGTGCCGAGGTCAAGGAAGAGAGGAGCTATACCTCCACTCACCCCAAACGCCTACATGGCGTATAGTGGGACAAACTTTACTTTACTTTACTTATCAAACTAATCCAATTACGTACTTCGCCACTTGTGTCTTACCTTGCTTCTTAATGTTTCCACCCCTTCTGACTCTTCAGGCTTTAGTTGTAGCAGCAGTGATGATGATGGTTGTGAGTGTATGATTTCAGCATTGTTGGTACCCTCTCCTTTTTCTTCACCCTTCTTTGTTACCATCTTAGAATTGATTTCCGTAAGGTCCACCTTTACCTGCACATTTTTCATAACCATGAAGTTCCATGTACATCACTGGTCTAAATGTTACAATTGTTTTCTGCAATTTTATTATTATTTTATTTTGACACACTACTTGTAATCCATAAAATTTATCACTGCAAAAGAAAACTACTGGATTTGTAACTGAAGTGACTCAAGTTGTTTTTACATGTTATGAAGTGTAAAAATTTGTGATCAAACACATCAACAAATCTGTGTTACATAAACATGCACTGGGCAAAGAATTTCTGTATTCAATAAACAATTCTATTTGGCTAATGTCAAAAACAGAACTTGAATTGAGCAGAAATTGCCTTGATCAGAAAATTTCTCTAGTCCTACAAATAAACTAATGCATAATTATCTCAAATAAACCAAAACTGTTCAATACTGAGACCAATGGAAAATATTTTAATTTATAATTTAACATAAAAACAGTCTGCTCCAATATTTACTACTAGTATTTTTTGTGTCATGAGTTTCTTAATTACCATGTGATCTGCAAAATCTGTGACAAAATACTTTTGCAAAAATATGGAGGTGGGAAACCAACCACTGACAATATGTACAAAATACTTTGATGAACCATTGCAAAGAAGAAAGAATGAATGAAGAAAAGAAATTAGAAAGTAAAAATGTGATATACTCAAAGTATAGTATACACATATTTCTGACTTACAGTATAATTTGGATCATAAATACATGGGGTATGAAATGCGCAATATCCTTCATCAACAAGCACATGTATCAAATGGAAATTTTTTAGTCCATTTGAGATTCTGTTATAAGCAGGTCTTACTGTACCTTCCTATAGTTGACATTCACAATCAGACATAAATTTTTTTACACTGCTAGGAGCTGGATGGAGATGTTCTTGGACTTACCCTCTGCATCTGCTCCTCATCATCGCCGTCTTGCCTTGTTCCATTTACTGCTGCAACATCTTCAGTGGATGCTGAAGCAGATTCCTGTGACTGGACAAATGGCTTCACTCGCTTGTACCGTTCATATGGACATACAAATGTCACATAGTCATGGGTGTCAATGTCTGCTTCAGGTGTTTCAGCCTTCACATAATTAAAACACCAGAATATACATAAACACACACATAAACTGTAAAGTTATAAATAAGCAGACATACTTTTAATATACTATTAATGGAGCAAATGGGGTGATGTGTGTTCTGCACAAATGGATATAGGAACTGAAGTGAATGACAAAATATTCCTGAAATTACTATGTACTTTAATGAGTTAAGCCAAAGAGAAGATCAGCAGTTCAGTGTATCTGTAATACTCAAAATCTCACTGCCATAATATCTGCACCATGTTTTGATAACCAAAATTACATATAGTCCTTAAAACTAAGTACAGGTAACAGTAAAGCAAACTAAATGTCTTAAAAGTCAGCCACAGTAAATGTGTGGTGTGGAATATTAGGTTAAATTATAAGAATGATTATTGTAGATATTCAATGAATGAGGGGATTGTTACTATGTGATACAATTTCAATGCAGTTTAACTTCAAAACATTCTTCAAGTGTTAACATTTCAGAGGTCTCTGCTGCCTACATCATCAGAGCAATGAGGAGGCAGCAAGTACCTCCAAAATGTTGGTAAACTTCTACCAGACTATACAGTACTATAACCCAGAAGACAGCCATCTAAGTGTAGGTATATTACCTCAAACAGTGAGATTATTGGTTTTGTCTTCTGTATATTCAGCACCCCAGCTTTTATCTCATTAGCATTATATGTGCTTCCAAGAAGAGTTGGAAGGTCATCCCTAAAGTCCTGTATGTGTGTGAGATCATGAGGGCAGTGAAGGACTCCATCCAGGTTCACCTTGTTCCAGGTCTGGGTACTGACCCTTGTCCTCAACTCTTCCTCCAGGATAGGCTGAACAAACAACACACTTGCCCTTAATGTTAAACTGAAAATAATTTCCATTTTGACCAAGAAATATCACCTCAAAGGCAGGTGATGTTGCAATTAACTCTTGATTATAATCAAGAGCTGCAGCAGAGCTAGGTAAACATTAGACTTTGAGAGTCAAATATGAAACCAAGATGTAGGAGCAAATGACTGCTACACACAAGACTCCTAGTGTCACATAAATATCATACTGTAACTTTTCACCTTTCAATCACTATTTTGTTCATTTTTGACATGATCCACACAACTCAGTTACAAGTGAAGTTACAAAAATCTTAGCATTCTGTATTTAAAACTACAAGCTCTCATCCATGCTGGTTCAGTTTCTTAAATAGTGTAATGCTGGAAGAATCTTTTGATTATATTGGAATTGCCAGACATTTAAATTAATAAAAAATTATATAATTAACAAAATATGTTCTCATAATTAATTTTACTAAATTTAGTGGATTTTGTCTATTTCCTTTGTAACTGTATGCATGAATAGTCTCTAATGACATTCCAAAATAAAGAATATCTGAAATTACCCACATGCCAAATGTAACCTTTTGTCACCACTTAAAATCTCTTGTAGCTACTGTCATTAAAGAATTATAATGGTGATCTATAAACCTTATTACTAGAAATGTTTGAGTGCATGTATGGTCTGTTGCACATTTCATTTTCTGCCTACCAAGATATGCTAGCCACTTGTGCTGATGTCTGAATAATTGGTTACAATTATCTAAACTGAGGGCTACTATACAGGTAGAATGCAATCCTGCATTACAAACTTAGTTTGAAACTTCATTTTTCATTATAAATTAATTTGCACAAAGACTGCACTATTCTGCCTATCCCACAGAGAATATCTTTCTGAGTAGTAGAACAAAGCAGGGGCTGATGTTCTCACCTTCACAAGGGGCTGATTCCGAGCTTCCAGAACTATGTTGTGGAGAGTGAGCAAGTTCTGTCGTACAAGAGGAGGAATAGGGTTGCAGCATGCCATAATACCTTGCATTTCTCTTGGCAAAGATTCCGCAATCTGAAGCATCATGTGGTTTGGCAATACATACCTGTTTGAGAACATGGAGACACAGTAACTAATTACTCCAGTTCACTGGATAGTTCAACACAATGTAAACACACACAACCACCATGCTGCATGTCTGTTGCCTACCACATACAGTAGATACTAATGTCAATGCAACCATTACATCATGGCACTGCCATATGGGAAACTTCATGAATGGAAGACTTTAGGTTCTCACAGCAGAGAGTTTAACACTTCTATCAGACTACAAGGTGCTACAACCCATGACAGCTATCTTCATGTATCGTGGAATGATGTAATTTACTTTCAGAATAATATAACAGTCCATCAACGTTGTGATGTGAAAATCTTGATCCAGGCCTGAGAACATAAGTGCTGGCTTCCCCTCCTCATCCCCTAGATGTATCTTTAGACAACTACTTCCTCTTTGCTCAGGTAAAGACATCGCTTTGGAGATCCCAGTTTGTATCTGCAGATGTCACCACAGGATCACTATACCACTCAGCACAGAGAATTACAGCAGTCTGACTAATCATGTGTTTTGTCAATGCAAGAAATATTCTATCTTAGTGCTAGTTCTACTGAGCAGAAAAACCATGTATCAATTATATTGATTCACTGTGTGAAACTGTGTTCTAATTATAAATAAGGATCTTCTGAAATCCCCATCAATCAAATAGTGTTTCACTGTAGCAGAGGTTTCCTATTAAGGCAAGCACATAACTGTAAAACCTATATATTATTAATACGTAGAAATAAAATAAAATTCACGTAAAACGGTATATTTCTTAAAGCCATAATTGAAATGTAAAGAACTCTGTGTCAAATGCAACAGTATGTACAAATACAATTCAATTAACTGGCCTGTTAGTATCATGAGTCAGGACAATTAATTGAAACAAAAAAGGGTTAAAGCAATTGACACTGAACTCACCCTGTACTCTCATCATCCTCCCTGGAAATTCTATCACGCCACTGATACAATTTTTGCAAAGCATATAGCTGGCGATTGTCAAAGAGTTTCTTGTTGCGTCGGTACAGGAGCATATGACTGTCTTCTCGGAGAACTGGCTTCTCATACCTCTGTGACAATACAAACATACTGAACAGTATTACAAAAAAACTTATTTTTAAGCTTGAGGAATGTCATCTTCTAACAACACACACATGTGAATAAAAACTCATATTGTATGTAAGAACTGAGGTTTTCAAAGCACTGAGTCTGAAGATTGCAATGCATTGGTGCTGGTAAATTCATGGAAGATGACTGTCTTCTCGGTTGTAGCGCCACGTAGCATGGTAGAAGTTTACCAGTGTTTCAGAGGTCCTTGTTGCCTCCTACCACATTACATGGCACTACAACCCAGAAGACAGCCATCTTCCATGTTTAATGTTGTTTACCAGCACCAATGCAAGAAGTGTTATTAAAGGATGAAAGGGGAAATTAAAGACCCCTTAATTCACAAGAGATTATAATTCATACCTTTCAAAACTTGCCATTATTTATAATATATGATGACATTAATGGACTGATTTGAATGTAGTTTTAGTGAAAAGTATAGGAAATAGGTATGACTGATACTAATCCAGCATTCCCCTGGATAGAAGACATATGGTAGATACTCACCGTCTTGCAAATCTCAGTGCTCTGCTGGAAGACAGACTGTAGGAGGTTCCTTTGTCCATTCGCTGCATCTAATAATGCATTTTGCATCATGTCATAAATATAGAGCAAGTAGTGTGTGTCCTGACGAGCATACATCACTAACTCATCAGGCAGTGGCCTGCCAACATACATATGTTTGTTCATACACATTTACTGATAGGCATACAGAGGTGATGATATATGTTCAGATGTTTATGAATATTAAACCAAGATGTCTTGGGCTCCTTTCAGGTAATATCTCAGCATTCTCTAGCATAGATTTAAAAGAGTTGCCACATACAAGTTGTAATTTCTGTATTTTCCTTCCATTTCACAGTTAAACTTGATTAATTTTAGTAAGTGCCCGAGATATCTCACACTGTATTTAATAAAACCTTCTATGCTCTGAACTGTATTTAATTTCAAATAACTTTGGTATCATTTAACCCAATGTCAATTTTCAACTTCGCATTTTCACAAGTGACTCCTGCTATAAATTCCAAAGACAATGACAGAATGAACTAACCCAATACATGTTCTACAAGAAATCTTTGGCTGAACTAAATATAAGAGGAAGAACTATGATAATGCACCCTGCAAGCTAAACAAAATCTGTGGAAATTAATTTAAATAAACAATTTAATGTACCACTTGGGGTATCTAAACTCACACTATGAATGAAATCCCACTACAGAACTAGTGTGACTCCAATTCATAACACAGACTACAACAAGAATGAGATAGCACAAACAATACCTGATCCTCCAATCTGCAAGCTGAAAGTGTTTGTCTGCTATCACATTGCAATAATGTTTCATCAGGAATGCTAGTGATAGTTGTGAAAAGTTTAAGGTCTTGGCTGCCTCATGGGTATCAAACATGTTCACCACATACAAGCATAAGTCTCGCTGCAGCCATTCTATATCATGGACAGCCCCATGGAACACCTGGCACAAACATGTCATATACTGTTACTATGAGTGAACAATGTGAGACAACAACATGAAGGATTCGAATGTAACATTCATTCAACTATAAAATACATTCGTATTAGTCTATAAAACATTAAATAAATCAAGTACTTCTTGTCTACAATAATACAAATAAAGATAGGTCACTAAAAATTGTGTATTTTGAATTGGGAGAAAAACTATTGCCATTTACTGTCATTGTGAAATGTTGCATTGTAGTAAGTCTTTGTTGGGGGGCACTGAGATTTCATCTTTTTATTACCATGTACAGAAAGTTTCTGGGGCTAACCCAGCCTATCAAACAGCTACCTAACTAGGCAATTAACTAACTGTGTGTAGCTGTTCTTCACATACCAACAGTTAATCAGATAGTTAAAAAAATTATGTACCTTTCACAGAACCTGAGATTCATTACCATATTCAGAACAGCCTGTCACTGCCTCCTACCCTGAGCCAGATCAATCCAGTCCACATACTCTCATATCCTCTTCCTTTCAGATACAGTATACCTTTAGATTCTTTAATGTTTTCAGTTTCTTCTCCATCTAGTAATATTATCCTTCCATCTAAACCTTGTTCTCCTAAGTGATCTTATCCCTTCAGGCTGTCTGACTAAAATGTTTGCATTAAAAAAAAAAGTGATACAACAGCAAAGTAATAACTTTACTTTCATAAAAGCAGCTTACCTTGATGATGCTTCGTTTGGTGAAAACCTCATTGAGGCAATGTAATTTGTCCCTTAGAAGCAGGGTGTCAATGATGTAGTCTGTCTCTCTTGTCGAGATCTGCATCAGGCAGGTGAAACCTTGGAAAGAGCGGTATGAGTGATGCTGAAACAGCCCCACTTGAAATCAACTAATCACAATATGACATGAACCATAAGGCATTCTGAAGTAAGAAGCTCTATTGTCAATTATTTACTTAATAATTTTGTATTTTATTTACACATTTTCAAATAAATAATGACAGATGAAATGTAATTCACTCTTTTTTAACAACTCCTTTACAGTATTTTCTAGGAAACTTTAATTTTCAAAAGCAGAGACAGGAACATAGTAAATGTATGAAATAACAACAATGTACAGTTTGCTGCTTCCATAAACATCATGTTCAGTAAACTATTACTATAATACAACAATACTGTACATATTGGGTGTCCAATGCATTGGCATATGCAAATTTCATCCAAACACAATTAAACAAGGCAATAAAAATTCATGAATCATTCATATAAGTAACGATGATAATCCTGGTTCCTCAAGAAGTATGTTAACAAACCAATGTAATATAAATTACTGTTCCTGTGTCCTACTAACCTCCAGGTCCACAGCAATTTCTGAATAACTGGCAAGGTCTTGCAGGAGATCAGGAAGCTGGTCTGCATGATCCACCATGATCAGTGGTGTTTCTTCTAGTGGCTTATACACATGTGGCTCTGTATGTTCCAACTGTGTGTTTGATGGAGTAAAATGTTCCAACTCAAACTCATACGGATGACTAAAACTGTAAAGAACAACAATAAAACAGGTGAACAAAGGAGATAAATGCACAAGTTTCCATTTGTTGCCTATGCATACCAAGTAAAGGGATAACTCAAGGAAACCACTTTGTTACACATTCAAAAAGTTTTCTTAAACATGAAGATGACTATCTCCTGAGATGCAACACCATGTAGTCTGGTAGAAAGTGACTAGACAGTTCAGAGATGCTTACTGTCCCCATCATCATGGCAACAGCTTTGATAGTAGTAAGCACATCTGAAGCGTCGATCAGTTTTAACAGACATATGTTGCAACACCCCAGAACACATTTTCTCTGATTTCAGTACAAGGCAGATCTTGGGAGTTCTGATGCAAGAATTCTTTTAACTTCAATCAACTTACAAAATTAATGTCAAATTATAAACAGCACTCACTGTGGTACACATATTTAAGAAATTTTTAAAGTTATTTTACAGTGATAAGAAAAATTCTAAAGATGACAAAAAGTGCAATGGAAGTTTCAGGATTGTGGAATTTAATACAGCTACAAGCATTAAACTAGACAACAGAAATTAACACAACATATAACAAGAGAAGGTCTGAAACTGCAAAAAAGTAACAACACTGTAGAGAACCTGCAGTACCTTTCTTCACCATCTTCTGACAGTTGGAGTGTTACGGCTAGAGGTTTCAATGAATTTGGTTTTTCTTTAATTCGAGGTTCAAATGGTAATGAAGAGTTGTCAATCTTATCCTTGAACTTTATTTGGGGACGCTGGATGTTCTTCGCGGTCAGCAATCGGACAGGCTGTAGACCAGAACTGTTACCATCTGATAAAGTTTGCTAAACAAAAAACAACAAACCGCATTAGCATTGTAAATTTAGGATTCTCCAAATTTCATCTATAATGTTCATCTTATTACTTTATTCCATTCAATTTTATTTTTGGTACATTACAAAAGAGTTTAAAATTCCCCCCAAAATATTCCTTAGTACACATTTCTGGGCTTCTTTTAAATGTTGGCAATAGTTTCCTAGTTTTTTTTAAATTTCAGAAACTACGTGTTGTCACTATAATATGTATGTATTTATATTAATTATAGCAGTTATATTAAATGCTAGTTGCAATTTACATACTACATTAAGGTACTCATAACCTGACTACAGTCATAGGGCCATTCTTACATGATTTGATAAATTACAAACTGAAAGAATAGCAAACATCATGTTATAAAACATGTGAGAAGAAGCAGTTGTACTTGGTTCTGTTAAAGGATGAAGTAAATGATGACAATCCCCAAGCAGAATTTCTTAATAAGAAACACTCACTACATGAAAATACTGACTTAGATATGCATGATTACAGGAACTTGGTATAACAGATTGTGCTCAACAGATGTAATGTCTATTGTCTATTCTTTGACTTGATATCATAAATCTACTATCTGAGGATTATCTGATATGGGAATCATTCACAACCAAGTAAAAGAAAAATCCAATTTCTAGCATGTATGAAAGTGTTTAACCATTTATCACATGAACGTTCAACTTAAAAGAACAAGAGTTTCTCAGTAACACCAGTTGCTTAATGCCTCATAGAACTGATACTGGACTCCTGTTCTCTCCCAAAGTTGTCTGTTTCATCCAACACCAAAATCCTGTCAAACAAACACAATTATACTCACTGATCGAATCAGGTTCCAACTTCCACTCACAGGTCGAGCAGAGGAACCCACAGCTTCCACAAGAACAGGTTCAGGATTGCGTCGGATACCCGATATCTCATCCAAGTTGAAACCCTGAAGCAATAAGAATAATGATGTAACTACAGATTAATTTACAATGAAACACTTAAGTACAATGGCAATGTATGCAACTTGAGAGCAACATTGTGAGAAATGTGAGAACACGTATTAAGAGAAGAAATTTGTTGACAAAGTACACTTCAGAATCTGGAAGGAAAAGATCCCATTTTAATACTACTGGAATTATTAATGCACATGCTTAGATCATGTCACTATACATACGGCACAACCCAAATTAAATGATTTTTCATATATGGGAACCACAAGCAAATACTTCATGCAGCCACCATGTTTCTAGTTCCTATTTTTCTAAAGATAACGTTATAATTCCAGACTGCACAATGAGTAACACCAGTACTTTTCCACCCACCAGACATTTGTGCAGCAGCTCTGATGATATTGCTTATAACTAATCAACCAACAAAGCAATTAACTAAATGATGCAAAATCTTTCTTCAGCGGTTTATGGTTACTCAGCTAGTCAATCAATTCCCTGCCTATAATGAAAACCACTACTGAGCCCCATGTCTCACACCCTCAATTCAGTGAACTTACCATATAAAGACTTCTGATATTCCAAGTTATAAATCCTATGTCCTTTTCTGTTGTTTACTATGTGCCAAACAATCTATCTAAGTACTTGGCAATCTGTGATATTTTGTATCATGGTAGATTTTATGGTGGGGAATAATTAGTGAAGGATAATTAGTCCCATGCACAAGCCCCAAACAGAAGGACCACACCTTGTCAGCTGCGTCTTCAACATATTCACGGCTACCCTCCACATATAGAGACCATCTTTTCCAGACAGGAAGTTCAAATGTACTAATGGTATATAGTTAATACACAGGTCAGTTAGTATTTAAAATATTGATGTCTGCTGCTGAAACAGGGGGCACACATGCAAAAACATGCAGTTTGTAGATGATGAAAATGAGTACGATAGGGTAAGAATGCCGTGCCATCTCTTATTCTACAATGTTATACTTCCTAAATTATTTTGTTCCAATCTTAAAAAAACTAAAATTACACTGAATGATTCAACATCCATAAATTTTTGTCAAGCCTGTGTGTACAGATGTATGAATGCAATACTGTTGATCATTATCTCACAGATTGGAATCCAAATTCAATTTCCCACTTAGCTTACTAGACAGTGATTTTTTCTGGCTATAAAATCCCATTTCATTGCCATTATATCAAAAACTGCTATAAAAATCTATGTATGATTTAGTGTTCAGGCATGTCCTCACCACTCGTTCCAAAATTGAATCATTTGCATCCACAATCAAATCAAATTTCTCTTCAAAGTCTCGTCTCAAAATATTTCCTCTGATACCCTGGTGATGAAGTATCAGTGATATCCTGTAATACAGTACAAATTGAAATTATCACCTTCACAACTGGTTCCATTTGTTTAGCGGATGCTTACAGATGCAACCAGTTCATACATAAATAAATTTAATATAATAACAATTGTTTTAATGTGTTGTAAATGATTTGTAAGGCATCAATAACAGCAGTATAATAAAAACTGGTTAAATATGCTAGGATACAAAAATAAAAATGTCTCTGTCAGATATAGTAACTAAGTAAAATTTGAATTCAGTAAAAGCAGGTACGGGGGATCTTGTAAAAATGTGCAGTTCCTCGTTCCACTTAGAAAACTTTCTGATTCTGCCAACTGGACTCATGTTGGGGATCTCATTAGTCACTACTAGTGTCACACCTGAAGATTATTCACAATAATATATGCAAGTTACACTCATTACTTCTTAATCAATGCCCCTTGTGCCATATGGGTTCACAGCCACTATTCTGAAATGACTAACCAAATCATAACCAGAAACTCATAAAATCGCAGATTGTACTTAATTTATTCATACGAGCATTAAATTTAAGGTAGGTGGTTCTACTAAATATTTTGTAACTGCTAATGCGCTGTGAATCGAAGTCATCATACCGTCTAATGCAAAACTTACAGCTTCAGTACACGTGCACCTTCAGCATCCATAACCTTTTTAAATGACGGGTAAGTTGTATAATAATCCCAACTCTGACCAGTAGGTAAACTATTTGAATTTCTTGTAGCTTCCATGAGGGCTTTGAAACCTGCCTGAAAAAATTATGACAGTATTAAAAATGTATATTTAAAAGTAAAATCTTACAAAACTTCAACATACGAACTTGACATAAAAGAAAAATGCATCACCTGTCTGAATTCCTCAAACGTTTTGAAGCCTGGAAGAATGCTTTCATAACTTTCATTTTGTTCCTTGTTTCCTAAGTCTTTTTTGTCGGTACTCAGTTTTTCCTTACTACATGAGCCACCAACGTCCTCCATTTTGAAAATATTACGTTGTCTGTGATGAACCTAGCTACTACTCATTTTGGTTCAATCTGTGCTGCGAACACCAACGTATTGCTGGGGAACTGTTCTCTATGTTGGCAAACCGTGCTCTTGAAGAACCAATTAATTGTGTTGACAGAGTAGGTGTGAGGCGGTTCGAGTGTAAATATTACGTTGCCTTGTTTGTATTTACATTTGTCATGACCAAGTATTGCGTTCAGACTTCAGAACTCTAATTAATAGGCACGGGGCACTTTTTCAGAGGTTCAGTTTTCTGCACCAGTGTATATTTGAGTCAAAATATAGCCTTCACTCTTACGTGTCAAGAACCTCCCATCATAACATTTTATTCAGATGTCTATGTCGCAAATTTGCATAGTATACAGCCCACTTTAATGGAATGTTTGTACTATTCTGAAAAAGTTCGCCATTACTAGCTTCTAGATGTTCAATACGTCCCCGGTACAAAGGTATGAAAAATATTAATAGCACATTACTTATAGTTGAAATTGCTTGAGTGTCAATGCTCTTGATTGGGTTATATTATTTTGTCAGGGATGACGCACCTTCCCAGGCATTTGCGTCTTCTGGCGTTACAATGGAAACTATGGAGACTGTTGTTGCTGTAGCAATAGGCATTCTTGCTGCTGTATTTGTGGGAGCCTTGATTATTCTTGTCGTGATTTGCCGCCGTCAGAAAGGCAGTGGAAATTTTATAAACAAACAATGTCGAGATATGAGGTGGGTACAATTATACAGATGCATCACATAGTACCTAAGAAGCAAGGTAAGGGACAGGTCAGTATTCAGATGGATTATTTTAAATTTTTTTAGGAATATTGTTCAACATCCCTGATGTCTTAGTTCCTATTTCAGTCACAGCCACCAGTATGGTAGCATGCACCTTTTATGTGCACAAATTTATCTGTTTATCTGTTACCAGCTTGTTAATCAGACTTTTTAATTACTATTGTAATATCTTGGAATGAGCAGAAGTCATTTCCACGTAAGCTATCATTTTGGATTTATCTCCATATGAACAGACCAGATGTGCACTTGATTGAATCGGAGCGCCCAGAATTAGAATTGGGAGAAGTTCGCCTCCATCCAGATATTGAACAAATTCTTGCGGATGAGCAATGGATTGGTGATGCAACAGGTCTTGTACCGCATTGTCTGGCCGTTCTTAAAACCTGCCACACATTGACAGAACGGTTGGCTGCATTGGCCATGGGACCCCTGAATCACAGCAAGACTGGCCATGAGATTGTTGAGGTAAGCACAGCTGCATGAAGTTTCAGCACAATTTTTTGCTGTTGGTTCTGCAATGGAAGCTTTTTGTGCACATTAACATTCATACAGGATGTGAACAGACAGATTTTGCATATTTTTTCCCGTTACTTTTTAGAAGAGCACAAAACCTACTGATCTTTGTGGGCTGAAATTGCCTTTACCTGTTTGCAGCACTTTCCTTTCTTTAATTTTAATTCTGAATCATAGTTGTGCCTTGTGGACTCCATCCAGGGCTTCTGATATTACAGTACAGTCTTGATTTATCAGTATATGTCCAAACCTCTGTCATATCCTTTGTTTTACTTGTATATTATGCTCCGTGGATTACTGCATTTTTTCCTGTAAAATATCATACCGATTTTCTTTCAGTAACAGAAATTAAATTAACTTGTTTGTGCATAATATGATTTATGTACTGCTGTTTAGGACATTTGTAACATGTTTGAATATAGGTTATTCATAGACACATGAAATGGGAAACACCTAATGATCACCATTTTGATGCTAATGCAGCGTCAGAATTCTTTGATGTTAAACTTTTTTCTGCATCACTGTCCCCTTTAAACCTGTAAGTTTGATGTAGGCTGTAAAATTTAGCTTTGGATAGGATATTGATGCTTCTTATAATACTGAAATGAAATTGCAGATATGCAAAAATACAGATAGCAAAATAAGTCGACATTACTATAAATTGAATTATATGTATATATTAGTGTCAACATCCTGTTTCATTTCAGAGGGGAATGATTTTCTTGTATCTTAAATCTTTCACCCTTTCTGTCTTACCTTTATCCTTTTTGCATATTTATTCCTTTCCTCCTTCCTCCCTTCTTTCCTGTCACATCTCAGTAAATGTGTGAAGATATGACAAACAATCATACCTAGAAACTTTTATAGTACTCTGTGTAAACTAAAACAGTTTATAGGTAGAAGGTATACCTCAAAACATGCTGTTACAGGAGACAGAATGAAAATAAGTAATTTCAACATTTTTCTCAAGGTCTTTACTCTTTTAAATGCTTATGAGTGCACTAAACATACCCACCCATAAATGTCAAGTAGATTTACATATATCATAGATACTTTAATAAATATACTTGCATCCAAACTCAAAACAGTACCAAATTTTATGGAATGCAAATCCTGAAGCATAACTTATTCTATTGTATTTGTATTATGACATATTTTACAACCTTGGCTCAAGTCTGTGAAGGATCAAGGGAATGTAAATGAATTCTATTCTAGTCTGTTCTATTGAAACAAGAAACAATTCAGGACATCATATGACCATTCTGTACACTTACTTTGTGTGTCATAATTTTCTGTCTATTAAAAGGTTGCACGTCGTATATCTCCACGTGTGGATGATGTAGTGCGCAGTATGTATCCTCCTCTGGATGCCAGACTGTTGGAGGCACGTACAGTTGCTTTAGCACTGGCTGTTGCACATCTTGCCCTTGTCACACGTTATGGTTGCAGTATGGGACGGTCATCTCGTCGACTGGCATGGATTGATCAGGCACTTACTGATATGGATCCACATCTGTTTGTAAGACAATGCAGCCCATTCTTCTTTGTTTAAGTTGATTTGTGAGAACTATAATGACAACATGAATGTAGTATGAATTGCTGTTTTTGAGCTAAGCAGTCCAAGCTGTAAATTTTGATTCACCATAAATGCCTACACCTATGATATAATACAATAAATCACTCATGCCTAAGTGTAGGTGAGAAGATAATATTAAAATTGTTCTCAGGTAAATAAGGTGAGAGGATATGAATTGATTTTATGTGGCTCAGTATGTGGACCACTTGTGAGCTCTTGTAAACCTGATAATGAACCTTAGGGTTCCATAAAACGCAGGGAGCTTCCTGACAAGTTGAGCATACTATTAGTTTAAGACAGACTCTGCTCAGTATAGTTAGTTGGTTCATTTTGTTTCTTGGTACAGGTGTTACGTGAGGCAGCACTGGCACAAGAAGCTTCATTCAGAATCCAGAATGTTATTGGTCAAGGCTCCTCAAACACACCAGTTTAAAGCTCATACATTGGCATTAGATTGAAGTCTAGCTGTTACTTCTTTATGTACTGTATTTTGTATGCATTATCCAGTGTTGTGGGACATGTAAAGTTGTAAGTTAAGTTCAGTAAGTCTAACATTTTACTTTTGTGATTTCAATCAGACTTTTATCTGTGACTGTGAACAGTTTGTGTGTCACAGAAGAATTTAAGATTATCCTAACCTTCCTGTCAGTCAAGAGCCCTTCATACAAAATGCGAAGCTTCACTTATTTGATCTAATTGTTTTTAAGATCTTCTGTAAGATAAGCTGTAAATGCTGCACATCATCATGAAGTATATTAGATAGCAACAGATGTTTGAATGCTCAAATAGAAAATATTTTATAAAAAAGCAATACAGTATAAATTAGTAAAGTATTTCATTACTACTTCTTGCTTCCAAAGTGCTCACTGCTCATGCTACAAGAAATGGAATATTGGACTGGAGAAAAATCTCAAGATATTTACATAAATTACATCTCTTATTGCATGTGCAGAACTTAGATAAGAGTAAAGGCTTTGTGCAGAGAGGGAATATTTCTTGTTTTATCTTCATGAAAGCAAAAAGTGAAGCATGTAGATAGTACTACATATTAACAAGAGGAAGAGTGGAAAGAGGTCATTTACTAGTAAAATCATAAAAAATGTTATCTGATCACAGGAATCATATTCTTATATTTTGTAAATATTGAACTGTATCATAGAGTAACAGGCTGGCTGGTCCTATTTACTTGATGAAGATTCTATATGTATATAAAAGAACATAACAGAAGTGTGTAATTTAAAATGTGTAATAGCCCCCCAATTTATGTTGTTACATTCTGCTACAGCTGTCTTTCATAAAGTGCCTTAAATAATTATATTAACACATTCCTTTAAATATATTTCTGAATTAATGCCACTTTTAATTTTATAATGTATAATCATGTACTTATTACATTACATACAATTGTTATGAATTTTGTCTGTTTTTTTTAACTTCAGCAATAATAGAACAAGTGACATAAAGTCTTCCATCTGCAATGCAATAAACTATATAAAAACCAATGTACAAAATGGTGATCTGAGTAATCTGTATGTGTGGTCCAGCTTTACCCTTTGCCAACTATTGTAATTTTAATATCAGACCATGAACAATATATTTATCAGATCAGGGAAACAATGATAAAAGGATAGAAATAATTTAAAAAATCAGTGACAAAATTAAAATTTAATTTATTTTTTTAGTTGAAAACAAAGTTTTTAAAAAAGTATACAAATGGAGAAAAAAGGATCAATACTAGGAACATTCATGGTCATAAGTTTATTTGCACTAAAAATATGAATCCTTTTTTCCCATTTGTAATTATTTTCCAGGATGCAGTGAGAGCACAATGAGGAAAGTAATATCACTCAGCCACTGTGCATATGCATTTATGTTATTACATATTCCTATTGAGATTATCCTTGTTATTTTTACACATACTGACAATACAATATGAAGAACAGATACTAGAACAGAGAAGAGCAAAACAGCCTGTCCTGCAAATTAATTTTAAGTAACAAGAACTCAGAAGAAAAAGACAAATAACCTACAGACTGCAGATTACCTTAAATAATATAAAGGAAAGGATCAAGGTCCCTGCTATCTATGAGGACAGAAGGTATGTATATGATATGCTTTGTGTGGAAAGGTGGATTCTACCTTAAACCTGAGGCTAAGGGCCCTTATTGTGGTAGAGTTCTTTCCTTCCTCTGTTATAAAATGTGTATCATCCTAGGAGGGTTTTTTTTGTATAATCAGGATAAAAACGTGTTCTTTCAGGATATCAGTGTTTCCATTAAGATGTAAACTTAGGATATATTTTTAAACACATATATGTAGTGGAAGAAGTCAAAGGCTGCATGTATGATTAAAATTGATATACTTTTATGAAAAAAGGCTTTTTTAATATCAATTCATGTTCACCTTCATTTACTAGCCATATTACTATTAGAAGTGCAACAGAGCAAGGTGGAATTTTTCTCTTTGTAAAATGTGTTATAAACATAAAAAATATTGAATTTCTATTAAAGTTGTGTTTGCATATTACTGCAACATAACTAAGATCATTGTCCATTTTGGTTAAATTAGCAAATGTATTTGTAGATATTAATTATGACAATGAAAGACAAAAGTCATATTTTTCAAAACATGATTAATTTTTCCTCTTCCATTTAATATTCAACTGCAAAGAAAAACTATTTATGACAATCACATCCTCTGTAATGTAAGAAAACTACAGCTGAAACACACACAAAATAAAGAAGCATTAAGTTAAATATTTCACAATTAAATACAACTAAAAAGATGACCCTAGTACCACTTACTTGACACATGAATCACTGCAACAACAGTCCTGCAGCTAATTAGATATATTACAATAACAATTATAGTGAAGCCATTTATGACTACCTCAAACTGCTGCCACACAACAGATGAGGACAGAAGAATCAGCATTTACCAGATCAAGAACTTGGGAAAAGGGGGGTGGGGAATTCAACTTATTCCAGTAGATGTCTAAACTAGTTGAAATAATCCCTGTGCCTACTCACATATGGGATGTCCCAAAAAAATGTATACATTTTATAATACAGATTAATCTTGTTATCAGTCTCCATGTGTTATGTTTGTGAAGGGAACCTGGTGTGGTTTACACTTAACAGATGGAACCATGATATCTTTTCCCATTACCAATTTCAAATTTGACTCTTTCAATCACCATTTTGCTTCCTCAAACTGCTATGTTTTAGGAGATGGCTCTTCCCCCATCCTCAGGTGAACCTATACAGTTGGGCCAGTTAGAAGTAGCTAATTTTGACCTGTGGACCTTAGCTCCTTCTAGTGGTCCCAACTGTGTAGGTTCACCTAAGGATGGGGAAAGATCCATCTCCCGAAACAGTGGTCTGAGAAACCACAATGACAACTGAAAAAGTCTAAAAATTGGAAACTGGTAATTCAACATCATTGCCAATAACATTCAGAAATGAATCTTTTCCCAGGACTCACTAAATGCTGATGCTGACCTATATAATGGTTTAATTTATTAAAATGTCTATTTCAATCACTGAATGTGTGTATTATCTTTTTGCCAAACCTGTATATCATTAGGGAGTAGGAGCACAGTTAAAATACTACTTCACAACTGAGCTACCATATTCCATGGTAACCACTGGACAAAATTCTTGCTGGGAACTCAACCTAGACTGTCCGGTTGGTAGTCAATAACTTTACCAACCAGTCTATCACAGTTCTTTTCAGTTTCATAGTTTGCAAGATGAAAGAACCTGAAGAAGGAAATATCAGTCCATTTTGGTCTTCAAAGATTGTCTCAACCAATGCAGTACATGAAATTTTGGCAAGGTCATTACTCAGGGCCCATCTTTACAAAATTAAGAATTCAAAACACAAAGGAGTCACAATGCTGAAAAAGCAGCAGACCTTGACACTCTCATACCAGTCTGGTTAATGGAAGCAATTATAAATACTCAGTCCTGCATCAGATTTATAATTATAATAAAATCAGTGGAAAAAGCATACTGAAATTCAACAGGAAATTATTTCTGTCATCTTCATTCCTTACACCCTTTCATACCTTTATTTATTTCCCTTCTTACTCCCATATTCCTCTTTTCAAGTACCTCTCATTCTGTTGCCCATATCAGAAACACTTCTGAAACATTCCCAATGATAGCATGAACCCAGTTTTAACTTATAACATTCTTCAGGCCTTCAGAAAGGATTCTAATTCAAGCACTTCTATTGTCAACATTTTATCAATATAAGCATTCTATTTTTACTTTTTTAAAATTGCTTTAAACTGCACATATTTATCATAATCATTTATAAACTTGAAGTAGCTTTGGTAAAACAAAATATTCCTTAAATAATCAATGGTTTGTGGGGAAAATTTGCTAATGTGTGAGCAGATTAAACCTTCACACATTGCAATGCAATCCTACAACTTTGTGGGCTCTTTATTTTGGAAATTGCTCTAGCTTCTTGTTACAATGAATCAGAATTACTTCAGACAAATAACTGCTTGCTCAAAGCACAAAGATCCTACACATTCCTCTTGTGACCCACATGATTTGTTGCATATACTGGCTACACCATAATGTTTAATGAAAACTTTTTTGTATCTTATCAAAAGCTCTCATGAATTTACACACATTTTTAAACAACCAAATTGAGCATTAAAAAGCCTACTGCACTCCTCAACACACTTCCAATACTACAATTTTCTGAAATTTCATAAAATTGAAATACCTTTAGCTGGAATTTATTCTAAGAATGCAGTCTACAGTTCATACAATGAAATATTTAAACAAGAGCAACTTGTCATGGCAAGATTCCAAATGATGATGGTATACAGTGCTCTATATAATATAGGTTCCTTTACTGGACTTAAAGTTGATGTTGACACTGATAAGCATCTGTATCCTCATAGGTATTAACTCAAAGTGTCTGCATGAAATATATTTATCACACATCTGTCAACACATGGTTTTTATACTTTTCAGGTCATTTCATAATCATATAATTATTTTAAATACCTATTAGATTGTATTTATAAAGTGAACCTAGGGATTACTTAAATTGCTTCTTGCTGGATGCTTTATCTTTCACAATCTTCTCCTTCAGATGTTCCTTGTATGTTTGAATATCACCCTGCCACTTGGTCACTGTTCCATTTTCACATACCCATATCTCCTCAGCAACCTGCAAAATATATGAACAACATAGTCCCTCAAAAACCTGCAAAATATGTGAATATTTTAGGCTTACAGAAAATACCTATTAACCAAGGTAGAAATCCCCACATTCACAAAATACTTATATTGCTATCTTTATAGACAAATCTGCATTGGATCTAGTCACCTTAAATCCAAAACTGTAAATATGAGAGGTTAGTACTTTATCACTAAATGACAGGACTATATGTATAAAATTCACCAACATTATCACACAGCTGCTAACTACATATATTATCTGAAAAGTAAAGGTCAAGACCTACTAGGATCAATATTACATCATCATAATTATCATTACATTTTGCAATCGATTTCCTAAAATAAGTGTAAAACTTAAAAAACAAATTTTTAAATGCAGAAGAATTCTGTATTTCACATTATGACAAACAGCACATGGTAAGTTGTCAAGCATATTATCACATAAATCAGTACTTGGTACATACCTGTACTAGTGTACAATTTTCCTACTAAATGTTGTCATCTGCTAGCAACAGTTACGTACTTAATTTTGAATTCCATAATTCAACACACTGAGACCCAGATCTATCAAGCTTGCACAATCCCTGCAGTCTAACCATTTTTCGTAAAACAGAATATTTCACAAAACAAAAATCCAAAATTTTGGAACTATGTGCAGACAAATATCAAACACCAAATTGTTCAGCAATGTCTAGGGAACCAATTAATACTACTTTCTGTTGTGATATGATTAAAAACACCTTTGTAGAGTAAAATCTGACATGATCCATTCTGCAAAGATAACAGTCCTTAATGTCACACCAAGTTTCACACCCATACAAAACAAGTACAATTATCATTTTCAATGTTTTAATCTTTCCATTTTGAGACAGAAGATGGGAAGACAAAAAATTCTGAACACATTAGGTAAATAAGGTATTTGTTATACCAGTAATGTTTTTCTCCATGAATAGAATAGTGTTATTTTGCAATAAACACAGTTTTACTGAAATTTATTTGTCACTATTCATGAACCTCATGCTAGCCAAGATTCTATACCTGTATAACTGTTGTTTGGTTAAGTGACAACAAATAACATATTTCTACTAAGGCAATGGAGCTGTCAGAGATTTCATGTATATTTCAAAGCATCCTGGAGACAATATGAAAATAATAAACTGAGGATTAAAGATATGAAAATATTATGATGTACAGCACACAGTATATACCCCAATTCTGGAATTGAAGTTTCCATATAAAAAAAGCTAATGAAACATACCTGACTGATAAGCCTGAAGTCATGGCTGACCAGTACCATGCCCCCTTCAAATTCATTGATAGCATCAGCTAGTGCATCAATTGTCTCCATGTCCAAGTGATTGGTAGGCTCATCTAGTAGCAGAAGGTGGGGAACCTGCCATGCCAGGTATGCAAACACAACACGGCAACGCTGCCCATCACTCAGTTGTCGGATTGGACACACCTAACAAATTATTGAGAACTTTGTGTTAACTGGAAATGCTACACCTATTTATCCTAAAAAAGTGTGGAAATGTGCACGAAGATTCTCAATAATTTTATGAACTTCAAGCAGAACAAACTGTAATTTGACATAAAAAAGATCAGGTAATATATTTCTTTGTTTATCTTTGCAGTTACAAGATGAACAGAATTTAGTGAAAGCAAGTGATTTGCAAATATTATTTTATTTGCAAAAGTAAGCTTTCTTAAAGAGATTTATAAAATTTCACAATACCTATATTTCTAGATTTTCAAGAAGCAACTTCAATGTATGTGCTCAGTTTACTGGCCAGGAGAAAAACCAAGGTAATGAACATGAATAAATAAACAAGAAATTCCCATTTTTCAAAATTCATTTCTGACCTGAAAAGGCATTTAATTAACAATGTTCTACAAGATGATATAGTTGTGTCATATTGTTCCAATTGAAAATCGATTGTTCGATGAGGAACATAAAATGATATTTTAATTATCTTAATTGTGATTAGACAGACAAAAACTGAATAATTAATGTTCTACAAGTCAACCTTACCTGCTGTCGGCCTGTAAGTCCATAACGCCCAATAATCTTCCGCATCTCCTCCTTCTCCTTCACCTCTGGAAATGACTGCATCATGTATTCAAGGGGAGACTGGTCCAGGTCCAGAAGCTCATGAAGGTGCTGGTGATAGCGAGCAAACCGCAAGTGAGAGTTCTTGCGGATCATGCCCTCAGTAGGGATCAATTCTCCGCACAGCAACTTCAGCAAAGTACTCTTGCCTGCTCCATTTGGACCAACCAGGGCCAGTCTAGTGTCCAAGTCAATACCAAATTCCAGATTCTTGTAAATCCACGGTGTTGAGTCAGAGTAACGGAAACGAACATTCTATAAACATAAAACTCAATGATGGAAACATATATTATACTATCATACATATGACAAACTCAATACTACTTTTATAAACAGAGTATTAAATTACCAGATAGAAAATGACTAGAAACTTGCAAAAGGAGAAAATGGAAGAAATAAATAATAAGGAAAAAGTAAGATTGTGTTTCAAGTAAAAGTCCCAAGTATAGGGGCAGTTCTAATGGAAACAATTATTTTATTGTAATGAGCTACAAAGCCATATGTTGTTTCTATTTTCAGTTGTACTACCTTTCTGAAACTCAAATGAAAGTGATATGGTTGGCAAAAAAGTCAGTAAGCACAAATACACAAACATAACAATTCTAAAATGGCAGTTCATATGGAATCAAACACTGAAAGTTATGTTATTCTGTTCAATTTCTGTTACTTAAAACTGACAAATCAAATATTTATAGCATACTGAACACCATATGCAGACACATATGCTTATATGAAGATGGCATCTGTAAGTGGGTGTATAATATTAAAGATAATATACAGAGCTGCATGACACTCTGTGGCCAAGTTAAGCATGCCACGTCATCACTCTTGGCAGTTCTGTGAAAAAAAAACCTAATTCAAGAAATCCACCAATTTTGTATAACCTTGTTGTCACACTGCAAATGAGTGAAATGAAGGAAGTGTCTTGACACATACAAGGCCTTGCTGATCAAGTATGAAGAAATGAGTCATGCATGGGTTCACCAAATCCAGCCTGAAACCCAACAAGCTAGCACAGTGGCATCAACCTTCATGGCTCAAGCCCAGAAAATTTTGAGTAGCATCATCAGCTGCAAATGTGTTAACTGTCTTCAGAGACATGCATGGCATCGTGAGGACACTAAACAGTAAAACATACTGAACACTTCTAAAGGAGTCTGAAGCCAGCCATTGTAGAAAAACAATGAAGGCTGATGTCCAAAGGCATCTGGGTGCAACATGAAAACAAGCATCCATACACACTTCTAAGGTAATCAAAGAACTGTCCATTAGAAGTCCTCCCACACCCAATTTACCAGACCTCACACTGAACAATATTCATTTCTTTGGCTCCTTAAAATGGAACTCAGTTGAAGCCAATGCAATGTGCAGTACAAAATTGACAAGAAAGCCAGATGGCACAACTTTTGTGGAGACCTACTCTAGAAATGTAGTACTTGGTAAAGAGGAGAAAATGCCACATGCTTTATTTGGTAAGTGGTCAGCTAATCTTGCTACAACAGGCATAGTTTCTATGTTGGATCAACTACTAGAGCAGGCATATAAGGTTTTAAAAGAGAAACTGACAGAACCCATGAAATACATTAATCAAAACAGTTCAATATGTAATTTGTTACAATACTTAAGCTAATTGAATTACTACATCTCTTACCTGCACCATAATGACAGGTGGAGGGATGCTGCCACATGATGGGAAGTAGAAATGAACTGTCTTGTCATTTATCACCTTTTCAGTCAGACCTTGCGCCACCATCTTGGCAAGTGTTTTCTCCTTGCTCTGAGCTTGTCGGGCAAGTTTCGCTGAGCCGTGACCAAACCGTGCAATATAGTTCTGAAATAAACACGCTAATGTAACAATTCATTGCATGATAAAGTGCTTAGAGGACTACCACAACAAGCCTAATTACCAAGATAATGTATCAGTTGTGGTCTTCTGGGTTTTGATGCTGTGTAATCTTGTAGGTGGTTACCAACATTATAGAGGAATGTAATGCCTCCATCTCAAGGGTCAAATCTCAGACAAGGGAAGACAAATCACATTCACATGTTCTATACAAAATTTGAGCACTGAATTAATACTACGGTAATTTAATATAAATGAAAATCATGAATCACTGAAGTTTAAATAATAATTTTCACATTTCTACACATTCATGGGTCCCGCGCCTTAGTTGCACGGTCTAAGGCATCATGCTTCGGACTGGCGATACGGAATGCACTCTGGTTCGAGTCTCGGGGAAAGAAATTTCTCATGAGATTTTCGACCGGTGTATGGGACCGGTGCCAACCAGCATCGTGAGGAAATTGGGGAGCTACAATGGGTAGCGTAATCCGGTCATGAAAACTAGCAATGGCTTGGGGTTTGTAGTGCTGACCACGTCATCCTATATCTGGTTGGATGATTGTTCACCTCTGCTTAGGCATGTGAACATGAGGCCAGCAGTCAGCTAGTCGGCTTTGGCTCTCATAGGGCTGTTACGCCACGGATTATTATTACATATTCATGGTTCAGTAAAGTCCAAAATGTATGTAGAAGTAAATGCAGAAACTGCTCCTGTTTCAATGCAGATAAAGATTATTAAAGCATGTGCACATACACATACACAGAAACGTTATTTATAAAGAGTTCAGTGACCAGAGGAAAAAGCTTACACATGTGAGATAATGACTTAATAAGTGTTCTGAAACTATCTTACTTTCTTGTTACTTCATAAGTACAACCATGACTACCCTCTCCAGCTTGAAGCTTAAGGAAGAGTTAATAACAGCACATAATAAAACCATCATCTTATGAAATGTTGTATCACATTATATGGTATTTGAAAATTACCTTCATATGAGCAATCTGATCCTGCTCCCAATTGTACTGCTTCATCTGGTTCTCCAGCAATTCCAACCGAGTTCGTACAAATGCTTCATAGTTGCCCTACACAAAAGATTCAGTTCAATTTGTAACCTGTAACAACTGAAGTAACAGTAACAAAACTCAGTTGCTCATTGCAATAGACAGGGATGTGTATATTTTATTCCTGATATGAGATTACAACCATCAAAACTTGACAAATTTTGTTTGTTGCAAATTTTCTGGTAACAGGCTAGGCAGTTTTCATGCTGAAACAGACCTCATGATCCTGCTGTTAAGACACTGGAATTCAGTATAAAAGTTCTCAGGTTTTAAGATCACCAAGTTCCAGTGCAGATTTTTCTGCATGCTCTTCCCTTTCTTTGCCTCTAATAAAAGAAAAAGTTTGTGAACATGGGGGTACCCAACTGTCACTGCAGTTCAGAACCCATGACAAGCTGTAGGTCCCCTATGCTAGCCATCATCATCTTCATACCATTAGAGTAATTGTGGAATCTGCTTCACATGTTAATCCACATCAAAAATGGATTCACCACAGGCAGAGGACAGGTCAAATAAATCATAACTGAAGTCATACTTAAGGCAACAAATGTGATGAAGAAGTTTGGTACCATTCAGGTAATCTGGTAACCAAAATTTGTAAAGCCCTGCCAATGATCCATGCAGGGGCTCAAAAACATTGCCTTAGGATTCACAAGTTATTCCTATATGGCCCTTAAATAGAATATTTCAAATCCTCATTTCTTAGAGCAGTTGTCCAAACATAGTAAAAAAAAATACTTCAAGAAGGAAGAAACAAACTTCTCATAACAATTTACATTCAACAGGTTACAGCTTCTTTTCTAACTTTAAGTAAAATAATTCCTCAAAAGAGAAATGAATAAATAAATGATATTCTGAAACAGACTCCCATTAATAATCCCCAAATAAATAAGATACAAGAACCTTACAGTGTAGTACTTGAGACGCTTCTTGTCAAGGTGGATAATATTGGTGCAAACACCATTTAGGAAGTCCTGTGAGTGTGATATGATCACCAAGATTCGTTTGTACCTAAAACAATTACACTTTCATGAAACCACAATTCATACATTCAGGACAATGGTCATTAAGAAACAGACAATAAGGTAACTAGAATAAAGGATGATAATGAAGTAAGAGCATACCACAGCTACCAGATGATGAAGACACTGTATTGCCTAGTTGTCTAAAGGAAAGTAAAGGCTATTTTTATAAAGTTAGTGTGACTTCCTTGCCTTTTGTACGACTGTAAGGGACAGAATTGAACTGAGTTCTTCCTAGTGACAAAAACTGAACAATGACAAAATATGGGGAGAAGCATATATATATTGCCTTCCCACAAAGGTGGCAGGGGGATATTGTATGAAAGAAGACATTACATGAGTAAATATGTGTATGAATGATTTTATTAGTCAACTATACGAACTGAAAGAAACATACGTTTTTAACTCCTCTTCCAACCACACACAAGCATCCAGATCCAAGTGGTTTGTGGGTTCATCTAGTAGCAGAAGATGGGGTGTCACATACAGAGCTCGAGCAAGTGCAATACGCATGCGCCAACCACCTGCAAACATTAATACACTAAATATTTCAAACTTGCTTGACTTTCAGAAAACACTCAACCACACATATTCACAATATACCATCTCTCATAGAAGGAAAGTTAAGATAGGAAAAATAAAAGATCTGAAAAAACAGGTAAATAACATATAAGGATATACTGACCTATCAATTAGGTGCTGGCTTTCTGTGAGAAAGGTCTCAGATTTGAGAATCTGTCAACTTCGATGCTTTTCTTTTTCCACCTCAATTCAGTTTCAAGCACTCTGTTAGTTGCATTTACAAAGTGAATGCAACATTAGCTAGTTCTGTCAGAGCATTAAATATAATTTGACACTTACCTGAGAAGTCCTTGGTTTTCTTAGCTTGCATCTCCTTGGTGAATCCCAGACCATGTAGGATCCAGGCAGCACGTGCCTCTGCTGTATCAGCACTGATGTCGTCCAAACGCTCATAAACATCCATTAACTGCTCCTGTGATTCTATAAAGAAGGATTTCATTCAGCACATTCACTTACATGGGAAAAAACAGAAAACACTAGGTAAATATTGAAAAGCAACTTGAACTCTACCAAGCATAAGTTTAGGATTATTAGGCATATTTTTTATTTTATTTGTTCACTGCAAATAACAGTACCAGA